TCCTCAGCATTGTCAGCAAGATGTAGGTCAGCAAGCTTAGTTTCTAAGTTTTCAGCCAGTGCTGAAGCTGTGCTGGGGTTCTTTAGCCTGGCCACATTAATTATTTTCATGGCCTTGCTTCCTTGTGGTCACCTCTTGGGTCTGATGTGGAGCTTCATTTTGGAGACAATGAGCCTGTGATCTGTCCAACAATCAGCACCACACATGGTCTTGGTCACTCTGACATCTTGCCTGGTTTTTCTCCTGACAATGACATAGTCAATAAGATGCCAATGCTTAGAGCATGGGTGCATCCAGGAGGTCTTGTTATGAGTAGGCAGGTGGAAAGTTGTATTCATGATGAGGAGGTGTGCTGCACAGGTCTTCAGTAAGAGTAGGCCATTACTGATACGCTTGTCCACTCCATATCTCCCAACATCTCCCTGACAGGCTGCAGAATCACACCCTACTCTTGCATTAAAGTCGCTGAGAAAGATCAGCTCGTCCGTTCTGCTCATCACTGATAGTAGGGCTTCTAGTTCTTCATAGAACCTGTCTTTCATCTTGTCCGGGTTGGTCATTGTGGGGGCATAGGTGCTGATCAGGGTGGCTTGACTTCTATTCTGTATTCTACTAATGCAGTGTCATGAGCTGGCCATTCATACCCTTGGGGAGACTAACAAGTTTCCGGACAAGGTGACTCCTGACAGCATACCCAAGTCCAACATCATGACACTCATCACTGCCACAACCGCTCCAGAAAAAAGTGTATCCACCTCCAATTTCAGTCAGCTGACCTTTGTTGGCAAGATGAGTTTTACCCACGGCTGCAATGTCAATATTGTATCTTGCAAGCTGTCTGGCAGCTAAACCTGTTCTTCTCTCTGGTCTATGCTGTAGGGTTGTCCAAAAGCGTGCGCACGTTCCAAGTGCCAATGATGAGCGGTATCAACTTGCGCTTGTGTTTGTTCAGCTGCCAAGGTGGGATCCCCACTAGCAGTGGTAAACTGGCCAGGATGTATTGAAGCAGGCAATGTTCAGGGCACCTTTTCCTCAAACTATGGAGGTGAGCAGTACATTCCTAGAGAGGGCTGGTCAGTCACCCAGGTAGACACTGAGTTTCACTGCTGCTTCAGTCAGTGAAAAAGCAACCATTAGACCTGAGCTACCTGTGTGCAGGTCCGTGACTACAACTCCCAGTGTATCCACACTTACTGCTTCATCATTCACCCATCGCCACACGACTTTTTTTGTTTTTATTTTTTTCAATAGTAATGATGATGATGGTGTCGAGACTAGCACGTAATTTGGATTTAAGTGAGGGAGAATTGCGCAGTGTCAGCCTCACTCTCTCTTCCCAATACCCATCTGAGTCCAGGGGCAAGACAGAGTTGAGACAACCAGAGATGGGACTAGATCCAGTGGATGACCAGGACATCTTCTGTGCCTTGTCTTGTTCTTTACGTTCCACGATGCTTGCAGAGACCACCTTCATGACCATTGGGTCTTCCAATGATCTCAACTGCTCAATCTACCAGAATCTGTCTTCACATGCTGGGATAGGCAGCTCTCTGTCTCACTGAGGGTTTAAGACCATCGGCTACCCTCACCCGGTTTAGCTGGCTTATCGAAGTCATTGCCCAGGATATGGCAACTGTCGCATGCAAACAGCTACAACAAGCTATAGGTGAGAGCTGAGTGCCAGGTAGGGACCAAAGGTGGGCAAACCACCCAGAAAGGACACATGTTCCCCCACCAAAGATGCTACCCCTCCCTGACACCCTATACACCCCAAAGCCTGGTCAATAGGTTTAAATCCCACCTACTCTTCTTCCTATTGGATCCGGTGAATCTTAATGTCAAATAAGTCCCCTACTGCTCTGCATTTTCCATTGGGCAGAGGTTCACAGAGGCCCGCCTAAGCCTGTCCCCAACTTCTTGATAGACCTTAAGAAATGTCATTCAAAGCCTGCCCCGCCCATATTCGCTTCGGTGTGAGTGATGCTTCTTGCGAAATCAGCAAGCTGAACCTCCGCCCACTGCTGGGCGGGGAACAGTTCTTGAAAGCTGTTATTGGGCGAAAAGGACACGTCCTTCAAGCCCAAGCCCATGGTTTATTGGCTGAATAAGCTGACGGTAGAACGGCGGCAAAAGGAAGCCTGGGGAGAAGAGGCTCGGAGGCCGAGCTGTTTTTCCGGAAAAGAGCGACGGGATCGTCATCACGTTTGAGCCAATCGGCTTGGAGAGTAGAAGGTACGGAGAGCGAGAGCCGTGGGGCGATTTCTGCCTTCTAGTGCCTGAAAGAGTTTTCCTGTCTCCTTTAAGGGCAGAATTTAGTGGTTTAGGAAAGGACCATGTGACTCTTTTGACTCCTCGTTAGGACTAAAGAGCACAAGTATGTTCCCTTTTTTAGGATCGGCCACGATGTTACATATTCTCTAGCGTTTTGCATTTCTAGAACTATTTCAGGGTGTTTTTCCCCCCATTCATTTACCTTTTTTTCTTTTGGAGAAATCTTTTCCCAGCAATACTTTTAATAAATAATAAATCATTTGTCCCACCTTCCCGTGTGAGTATTAGTGTAGTAGGAACTAAGGAAACCAAAGGCGTGAGCGTTGTTTTTAAGCTAACGCATGAAAACCTGCAGCTATGCTTATTTATTTTAATATATTTATCTTGCTATATAGGTCTTTAAGTTTCCTGAATGCGCTTCGAAAAATGACTGCAACAGTCTGGTTAATGCATAATGCTAAGATGAAACGTTAAAGCTTTGTTTAACATACCATAGTGGCTTGGTATGCATATTAGGCTAAGCTGTAGGCAGGTTCTCATATGCTAAGATAAAAGCAACATAATATGGTTTAGTGTTATGTGGAAGCCAGCCAATGAGTATATTGATTGCATTCATATGCTGCCTTTTCTTTGGGAGTGCAAGTTGGCATGTGTGGAGCTGTTTCCTCATTTTATGGCCAACACAACAATCCTGTCAAATAGGTTGAGCTGAGAAAGAACAACTTGATAAAATCATGCCTAAGTGTATTGTAGAATGTGAACACATTCAGCTGTGGCTTATTCAGTAAAGAGTGGTTAAGCATAGCATATCAACTCAGCTGTTGTGGTTAGTTCACACCTCATGTTGATCAAGAAAAGAGAAAAAATTATGAACTTTTCCTTTGACTTACTGTAGAGCAGAAAACACCTGAAGCATGTTCTTACAATACTAACCTTTGATTCAGCATTGGATTTGAACCAGCATTATCAGTGAATGGACACTGGCAAACTGCAGTTACCTTGTTTGTGCATTGTGCTAAGCCATGATTTGTTTAAGTATGGGTTATTGAATTAAGACAAATTATTGTCTTACATAATTTATTAACTATAAACCAGATATTACAGAGTACAGTGGCTGAGTTTCCACAACAAACTCAACCTGGTTTAATGAAACACAATTGCTATGCTAGGTGTATCTATAGCAAGTGAGTACTATGTATACGTCTGTGTTTTGTTTCAATTGTGTGCCTTTGAGAGGTGCGGAAGACATAGGGAGCAGCAAACAACACAAAAGTCATATAGAGGATGTAAATGCAGGGCTCACACAAACTGTATTATACTTAATGGTCCATACAATGTGTTAAGATGATCGCTCCATTCCCATACCACATTGAATCACTAACTGCCCAATTCATTTTAGCCTGGCCAAGCTGTAAAGTGAACCTAACCTATGTGCTTCATGAAAAATTAATAATGGCTCCTCTGGCTCTAGTTTGTGGATGTAACACACAATTATTCTCCCCTTGCATTCTGTGTGTAGGTTAGAGACTTGGGTGGGGCACCAATCAGCAAGAAAAACCAGGAGACCATAAATTATGCATCTCTGTTTGCATATTCTGCCAAAACACTGTTACAATACAGTAAGTAGTTTGGAAATCATGATTTCAATCTGCCTTACTACCCTAAAGCAAACTATGTCCCCTGACTTCCGTTTGCAAATCATGCTTTTTAGAAACAACATTATGGCTATGTGCGGTATATGAACCAATCAATGTCTTCTTTGATGTGCCAAGGTCATGTTTTTCCCAGCTGCAGTTCTGTATGTGTTTTGCTTCACAAATGGCTAGATCTTTCAAAGAATGCTTTGGATATGATCTGTTGATACCACCCAATAGTGTGATTCCTTTTTAGCCCAACATAGAATCTCTGCTGTGGCTTTTAAGTTCAGCATTGCTTACTGACAAATGCTGACACCAACTGGATGCAAAAAAAAGCTTATCGTTTTTATTAAATTCCAGCTGCAAGCAATGCAGGCAAGTGTGACGTTAAAGTTTCCTTCCCAAATTCCCTTTGTGATTATCTGTGAGTTCATGGTCAGGGGGCTGGGAAACAAAGATATCAAGCACATGTACAAAATCTACAGCAAGTGAATAATCTATCTCTGTAGTATTGTTCAGAAGTTATACATTTGAGAGGGGTGGATGAGATAGGGAGCAGCAAACAACACAAAAATCATATAGAAGACGACAGATTTATTTGTAAAGCATATAAAAGACAATTTCATTTAAATACATCAGCTTGAAATTTTATATAATGATTGGGTTTACATATAGCTAAGCCATAATGTAGCTTATTTGCTTTTGAGTTATTGTGCAGTGTGAACCCCACTCATGGTTCACCATGAGAAAATGGTGTATAGCTTTGTGTGATGTGTAATCTGACTGATTGCTTAACTGTGATTTGTAGAATAACTAACAAACCATAGCTTACTGTAGTGGTTGAATCTAAGTCATTGCCTCCCTGGACAAGGTACAAAAGAAAAAAGGTCTATTAGCCATTCAATATATTTGTTCAGTTCAATCAATGCAATTCCTTCCATGTCATCATTATTGGCTTGGATTAGTTTTCTTCCCGTTGAAGGCTGTACTGACATCATAGAATGTTGGTGGTACGAATGGTTGATGGAAGAGTGGGGGCAGCTCCGTGGCAACTGTTGTGAGGTCACAGGAGCGGCTGGGAGATCCCCACCCTCCTTGGAGAGCCGGTTGGCTTGCAGGTGGTAGATGTTCCCTGGTGTGGCGCAGGCAAGAAAATTTGCGCTCATACCAGATATCGACCCCAACTCAGTAATGGCCAACATTGTGGTGAAGACCATCTGGCAGTCCAAGGAAATAAACGAGGCCGGAGACACACCAACAGGGACTGAGAGTCGGGCTCAGGGCAGCAAGGAGCAGCCGGGAAAGACGACCAGCATCAAGGGCTTCCCCAAAAAGAAGAAAGCCGTCTCTTTCCACGGGTGGGAGCCCTGGGAAGGGAAAGGGTGGAGGTGGAGTTCAGTGCCCTTTTTGCCGCATGTGAGAACATACAGGGAGGGGGGTGCACAGTAGCACATCTGCTTTGCACACAGATGGTTCCAGATTCAGTCCTGAGCATCTCCAGGTGAAAAGGCCTCTGGCAGCAGATGATGCAAAAAAATCTTTTTCTCCTTCAGATCATGGAGAGCTGCTGCTCTCAGATCCCAGCTTTGTTGGACTACAACTGCCAGAATTTGTGCCTGCATGGTCATGCCGGCTGAGAATAATGAAGGTTTGTAGTCCAACACTGGGCTAAGTGGACAATGAATTCATCTGATCTAAAGCAGATACTACAACAGAGGTGATTGCTGACAACTCTGGAGAGGCATTGTGAGAAATCTCATAGCCTGGGGGCAGGCATCTCCACCAGGACTAGCCTGATTCTGTCATGGCCTGGTTTTTGATCCCAGCAACATGCAGAGGCACTTCTCATAACTCAAAAGCCAGTCAGCCCTTCTCCTGCACACATTGCCCTGAATCAAGCCCAGAAGTTCACACACTCAACTTAGTTTTCTGGAAAAATATATGAATATTTGCTCCCTTCCTGTACTTTTAAAAAATTCATTTCTGATTCCTGCCCTAACAAATGGGGGGGGGGAGAGACCCTTCCCATCCTCTCCCTTATCTTCTGGTTCCAACTGTAGTCCGAGTATAGTGTTGGACAAACATCCCAGTTTTCTAGTACATGATTGTTAAATACTGTTTTCCTAAGGGAGATCTTTATCCGCTCCACTAGATAAGAAATTGCAGCCTTAAGACTGTTGTCACTGAGATCTCAGAAATCCTGGCTTTGTATGTGCTTCCTTTACTTCTCCTGATGACTCCTCCTAAGCCTAACCTTTCCTGTAGCCTTTGAACTGACTTAGACTCCTTATGGGCAGAATCCAACAGGGTGGCTGAGGCAGCATCTAACAAAGTCATTTGGGCTTGGTTTGATCTTGTGAACTCTGACGGAGCGGACAGGGTTCTCTGCAACGTGAGTTTTGCCGTCTGCATCTTGAGTCCATGCTCCACCTGGCTGTTCAGGGTAACCCGTGTGTGCATTCATATTTGAGTTAATGCTTCTCTGAGGGAGGAAGTGGTATCTTCCCTCTCCTGAAGAAGGCGGCTCGTAATCGGATTGTGTTGGATACGTTCTGCCAGGTCTCCAGACTTCCTTTTTTCAGGGAAGATCTTGGAGAAGGTAGTGGGGCATCAGTTGCAGAGAATACTGGATATAGGGAATAATTGTGATCCCTTTCATTCAGGTTTCCTTAAACCCGGGTGTGGGATAGAAACTGTTTTGGCTGTTCTTGTGGATGATTTTAGCTGGGTCCTGCACTTGTCCAATTAGACTTCTCAGTGATGTCCTCTACCAATGACCATGTGGACTATCTATGAGATGGGGGTGGTGGTGGCACTATTCTGCATTGGTTCCACACTTTCATAAGTGAGTGGTTCTAGCTGGTAATGCCAAGAGAAGAAAAGAAGTGAGACCCTTGGGCACTTTTATGTGCAGTGCCACAGGGCTTGATTCTCTCCCTTTGCTGTTTAATATTTAAATGAAACCGCTGGGAGAGGTGATTTGTTGGTTTGGAATGAGAGCTCATCAGCATGCTAATGATACCAAGCTTTATATCCTGAACTGAGCAGGAGGTGCAGAGGAGATGCTCACCCAGTGTCTGAAGGGTGAGGGATTGAATGAAACAAAATGAAACTGAATCACAGCAAGATGAAGTTATTGCTTCTTCAGAAACAACTGGGCTTCTTTTGTGTTCCTGTGTTGGCTTTGGAGAGGATCACATACCTTGATGGAGCTAATGTGAAAATGGGGATCCTTCTGTTTGATTAGCAGGTGGACT